CGAAGGTCTTCCAAACCTTTGACGTAATATGCTCATAGCCTCGTAGTAGCCCTCTTTTGGCTTCATAAACTTACAACACTGTATAGCTCTTGCAGCATCTCCAGTGCAATATCTCATCAAATACATTAACTTCAATTCATCATTTAATAAAAAACCACTCAACATGATCTCAAACTCCTTTACAAATTGTAAATAATCAGCCGGGTTTCCATCAAAACACCGTGGTTCAAATTTAGGGAGTTTGATGTTCCTATTATCCCTGAACGGCGAAACAGTAACATCAACCATGTCATGCTTAACATCAGACACATCGTTACAATTAACAGACAAGTCACCATGACTTACTTTCCTGTTTGCATCCAAGACACTCTGTCCCTTCTTTGACCCAGGCATTGTTGAACTTGACCCAATTCCAAAAACGTTCCAGATATTGCTTGTTCAAAGAGGACTTGACCGGCACCAGGAAAAATGAACGGCGACTATCCAAACTTTCACCAACTGTTTGAATCCGCCAGATCTGTTTCTATCGTCAGAAACTGTCAATCTCGTCTCATAAACCGTTAATGCCCAGCTCTCGCTACGCTCGGGCCCACGCTGTTCCTTTGACTTTCAGAAACGCTTAGTAATAACGGACGCAAAAACCAAAACACCGATCTGCCGCTTGTTATTTCTTTATTGTTACACCAACATATAAAAGGAATAAACGAACTAAGAAACTAAGGTCTGTAAACAAATATTACAATAATAAATCGTTGTTACTTCTGACGATGTTTCAGTCTTCTTTCTGAACAGCGACCGATGAGACGATGACTGTCGTATTGATGCCTCCGCGAAAATCGAGGAAGTTGATTTTGAGCAAACAACCAAGAATTGATCGTTCAATCTTCAACTCCATTGACAAAATGAATGATCACTCGTATGCTATTGTCCAAATCATAGAGTATTTGTGTGGCTCTTTCATAGTCGACGTCTGAAGGACCACGTGGAACTCAATGGCCTCTCTCACCTCTCCTCCACAAAGGTCCAACAAATAAGTCAACATCTGCTCCTTGTCACTTAATTTAATCCCAGTCACGCTTCGAAACTGGCTGACAAAAATTTTACACTGACTAGGGTTACGGTCACAGTACATTTTAACAACCCTAGGTTTAAGATCAATTCAACTCCCACCCTTGAATCAAGTCAACTTGTCCCGGATCAGCCCAGCGTTGTTGCAACCCAATCATCCATGCCTAACGTGTCTATCCCCCTTGTTTAATGAACTGTGTGCATGTGTTTTTACCTCAATCCATTTAGTCAGACGGTTGAACTCATGACCCAATCAGAGTATTTTGTAAATTGTTATTTTTTGCTGACCCATGTCTTATTTTGTACTATTCTGTCGAGTTTATCTTATTTATTGATCTTCATCTGTATCTTCCTACCTGGTTAAGTAGCCAATTAAAGTCTATCTTTGTGCCTATGCTCTGTCTATATCTTAACCTGCCTTACTTGGGTTCATCTTTCTACTAACTGCTTACCTGAACGGTCGAGTCTGATTCCGGCTAGTTTGCAATTTTGGCTTTAACGTCATTCCGCTCTGATAGCGGTACCTTGCTTTCTGTTAAGCGCTGTGCTTAGTACTCTTGAAACTGTTAAGGTTTGTTGTATATATAATTATTGATTTGTTTATTAGTAGTACCGTGGAAACAGTGACCTGCTTCTTGTTTGTTCTGGACCGGGATGTCCTTTAATCTACGCGTGACTTAATCCCAAGCGATATTGCGCTTACACTAGGCATGCACATACTATCAGAAGTATAGCACCACGACCATCTTAAGTCTGAGACTAACTCATCCGGTTTGCTACCTCCCAAACTGTGTTCCTTCGATCCAGACTTACCGATGAGCTTATAATTGAGAGGCTTTAACTAATAGTATTCCTGGATTTCTGGGCAGTATATCCTCATATTGTGAATTACATTAAATATCTTTATTGACACTACGGTTATTACATAATAAATGCAAATGGATACAGATATTTTAACACTCAATTCATCAACAGCTTCGTGAGTCAGGGAATTAAGTTAAACTAAATCATCTGGTAGGGATTTGCCCTACTACTGCAGGAACAGCAATATACAAATTAAAGGCTCGAGATATTTCTGATTTTTATGAGGGCTTAGATCTTTATCTTGAAAAAGATAATAATGAACGCCTTGACAGATCATGCTTCTACCTTTAAATATATACCATTCGCTCAGCCTATTGTTGAGACGCGACCACGCGGGATCTGCACAGATTTATGGGGCATCTTATAAACTAACTTGCTGTCCATTGTCGGATCTTTAAATACCACTTCACAATGTCTTATCTCATTCATTTTCCAATAACGTTTTTACTTGATCCTCATTATATCCCATTAAACCTAACATTTTACAGCTCTTTATGACTTGTTATATTCCTACTCTCTGAAGGGTACGGTTGTGCACTAAATGCACAAAAAGGTATAAAACAAAAACAACTGGCACAACTGAGGATAAATGTATTAGAACCAAAATTGGACATCATGATAGTACGAGATATACGTGTAGCATTATACATTGCAAATGAACGTCAACCTAGGGAGTTTTCTTTATTAATGCATTTATTAATGATACTTGCACTTACCTATTACATTACAATTTAATGATTCACCTCAGCACTTTTACTTTTCTAAAACAGCTTTCAATCCCTTGTAAACGTTTTACTTACTTCAATATTGGTTGGTTATCGTATGCTTACAACCACGGGATGAAAACGAAACGAAGTCGATTTTCCCGCTCAACCTGGAGGACAACTGTACAATTTAATAACTATACGGCCTGGTTCAGACAATCAGTGTATTTATATATATATATATATATAACAAATATTTAACTGTTGAAACATTATTAACTTGTAGACAATCTACGATTTGATATTATATCATACTTGATCGTGCCTGTAAAAATGGCATGCATTGTCATGTAAATTTATATTTATATGAGAATATACATCATTATTATTATTACTGTCTTTTATTTAGACGCCGTCAAGAAGCAGGTTGAGTTCCATTTCTTCGAAGGTTGCTTCCGACTAAAATATACAACCGAAATTCTAGAATAATTCAAAATGTATTCTTTGATAGTCCAAACCGAAATTGCAGGTATTTTGCGCTTGGCCAAACCAGACTGAAGTAACTGAACACTCGGCCAAACCAGTTAAATTAGTTTCAGGTTATACGCATCGTATGAAGAGTCTTAGGGATATGGAATTGCAGTCCTAGGCCAGATCCGAGACGAAACCAAAGGTCACAAAATAGAACCGACGAAATTCAAGATAAAATGGAGTGGTCCCAGATAGAATTGTGTTGGTAACAGAATTCTGAGGAGCTGCAAGTTTAATGCCCTATTATATGAAATGCATGGGATAAATATGGTACAAGCTATCAAATATGATGTTATCTGAAGTCATTCCATCGAGAACGCCATGGTTGGACCCGAAATTAGTTCGCAATTAGGAAAGTGTCAATTCAAGCAAGAAATTAACAGTAGTTCAATGAACCATGAACGGTCTAATTAGCACAAAATATAAGATGGTATATAAAGTTCAACTTAAGTGTTTGAAGAAGCAGTATTAGACATTACTAATAGTTTTCTGCAAAGTGAAGAAATAGATGTTGAAATATCACTCATGATTTGTTGTGGGACAGCTCGGACGATTGCCTTTGGCGTTTCAACACCAATGCTGAGGGTAAGCTCTAGATCTTTATATTCCAGCATAGTGGTGTCTGCATGGGCCAGTGTGTCTGGATTCGAGGTTCGTTCTTTGATCTTAGTTTTTAAAAGACGCCGGCGCAGCCAAAGCGCGTGCATACTGGGGAATTGAACAGCGGCAATAACTGACATTACCAAGAAACTTGCGCAAATATCATAAGGATGTAGGCACTGCGCCTTTCTGAATCACGGGTATATCTTCAGGTAAACGGCGAATGTAATGTCCATTAACCATATGTCCCAGGACAGAGTTCTGGAATTTGTCTGAACTAACTATTTTCGAAAGTTGATAGAAAATTTGCTGCAGTTGGTAAGGGTGAGTTTCTTTATCCGAACTAGCTACCAAAACGCCATCCACTTATTCATAAGTGAAGTTCAGTCCACACAAAGCATCACGAGCGGAATGCCGGAATGTATGCGCGGGACAAGAAGATCCAGAAACTCGAAAAGACCGATAGGTTTATTGAATGTTATCTTTAGCAAATGATCAAGGTAGAGTGTGGTGTGGTTAAAGTTATCTATCAGGTCAGGCTTGACAAACGAAGACGTGCTTTTACAGGATACAGTAATTTTGTGTGTGTGTGTTATGCTGAACGATGGTTTAAGATGGCGTTTTACCAGTAGTTCTTCGGTAATCATTTACTCAACTCCCACAACTCCTAGGAATGAGTTCTGGCGTGAGTCATGGTGTCGAAAATCTATGACTTCCCAGTTGAAGAAAGTTATTTGCAATGGTAAGGACCATTTAATAGAGTTAACGGAGTTCCTCTGCCTGGTGTGGTAGCTACTACTGTCAGCTACCTATGCACAACGAGTTGTTAAAGTATACTCAGATTCCTCGTTTTGGTCTTAGGTGAACTTGGCAGCCACAGTTGTTTTAGAAAACTGTTGTCAGTTGCGGAGCCCGCAACCAGCTGTTCTACCTGATGAATCTTCAAAGTGGGTTCACGATCTCCTCCTTCAACATATCGGAAGAGTTTCTGCCCCTTTCGCTGGCCCCTGAATGCAAGTCTATTGGTAAGGTACGCCTTTAGACAACTCTATAAGTAAGGTGATGGGTTCCTGAAGGCGCCTCAAAATCCTTCTTCCTCGTTAAGTATTATTTAGATGCTAGTCAGAGGTTTAAAAAATGATGGTCAGTTTTGAGCTAACTGATTCGATAGAAAACACAGCTACGTTGTGTTATAATCGGTGTGGATGAAGAACGGCGCGCGAGCGAAAAGTAAGTTTCTCGGGTGGTTGGGGTATCTTGACTTTCGGGTGAGGATTTTGCCTGAAGTTAGCTCTATGTTTTACAGTTGGTGCTAATTACCAAGACTTTTTTAAAGACTAACAGTTTTATTCAAATTGGGTAGACAGGTTATGGATCGATTCCCTCTCTTAAGGAACTTACGAGTGTTATTATATCTCAACTCTCAGAGGCACGAAATAAAATGTGTACATGTTAGTCTTATTATTACTCACCATACATCTATTGTGACCATTTAAATGAAGAATTCTGGCCAGAAACCGATATAACTACATATTTTTCAAGTGGTCTTGCCCCTACCATGAATACGGACAGCATTAACTGCTGATAGACCACACGATCCATGCAACGTAATCAGTTATTATAACAAATAAAGTTGACATCGCAGGACTCACATCTTGTATCGATGTCTAGATTCCTTCAGTGACGCCGTAATGGTTGGGCCAGTTTCACAAAATTAGTCAAGTTTGTGTGCATTGAAGATGAAGACTGTCACATTATGTTACACTTGACTATGTAGTAGCATATATCAAATATGCTCAGATTCGTAGAGTTCAGAAGACTGCGTTTTTATTAGCACCTCGCAAAATTCAAGAAGTTAAGTGCAGGGTTGTCATTTTGCCAGAACCAATCGACAAGTAAATATATTATAATCACCTCTAATTTGCTTTTAGTAATTCAGCAGTAATACTGTTAATCACCTGGAGACAAGTAACTAAGTCCTCATGCTTACCTTAAAGACTCCGATGATCCCAGTAACTATTAAAATGCCAGCGTCCCTATACAATTTTATTTTTCCAACTGCTTTTCAAGCCTCCAGTATTTCAGTTGTCTCCATCGAAGTAGGTTCGCCTTCTTACAGGTCGTTTCACTTGCTGCGGATCTTTAGGACCCCTTTCTTCAAGTAGTTCTCTTCGCCCACTCTTTCATTTTCACTTTGTCACTAAGTGTTGCTGCTAAATAACTAGTGTAGAAGAATGGAATCAACCCAAGTAACGAGTTAATTTAATGGAATTATTCACCGTTCTAAGGACTGTGCTATTTATTGGCATGTTCTGCGGTCTAACAAAGGTGCTTTGTTTTCTGCAACTGTAATATATTCCGTTCATTTATATTTCATTAAATATTTGGCCTCCAACTGACACTCCACATATTTAGACGTGGTTTAACGGGTTTTATTTGTAACATTGACTGACTGGCATTATGTATAGTAGTTTAATTATCCAGGGCATTTTCCTGTAATCATCTGTTTTTTTTGACCGTTTCAATTCATGGACAAAAATGTAGCGACTGATATTTAGTTAACATTGAAACATCATTGATAGCTGATATTAAATAGTTCATAGGTAACTTAGTGGGGATGTCGTGTTCTAGATTACTGTTTACCTTGTAACGCTGTGCTACAAGGAACTATAAGGATTCAACAATCGTTGCAAAAGTAAGCGACGTTCATAGGAACTCAGCAGCATTTTGTGATACTAGAGAGAAGTATAAGTTGTGCTTTTGCATTTCTTGAACGAGAAACGATATTTTTGTAGTAGTTCGTAATAGATATCCACTAAATCATGCACACATACTAATTTGCACTAAATTTTAGTTGGCCAGCGGGGCTTAGAATGGTTAAACGTATGTTTTTTTCAACTTCTGTCTGTCTGGATTCAACATAGAACTTGGCACCGAAGTGCAGCAGTTCGAGTTGCCACGTTCCAAATAGCACACAGAGGTAGACAAGAAGATGAGTGAAGAAAATCAATAGAGTTTGACAAGCATAAGAGTGAAACAGAATGGGTAATGGTAGAAAGGAATATGAAAGATTACAGAGACTGAATACATCTGCGCTGGCCATTGACAACGATTTTGAGCCATATCGCCTATTGTCTCCAGCTATTAATTCCTAGAGTCCCGAGGGCCCCAACTCGGAAGTCTTCATCTCCCTCCCTACCTGACTCAGTTAAACTGTCAAGGATTTCATGGATTGATGCCATGTTTTTGTTTGGCCACCATTGGCTCTTTTCCAACCTTCATCTATATCAGCTAGCAATGCCCGTCGGGGGAGGCGGTGGTTAGGCATGCGCAGCACGTGACCTAGCCATCTCAATCTATGTAACTTTATAGCCTCGTCGATTGATTTTTCAACTTACGAAATTTCACATCCCTTTGTGAATAGACTATAAACAAAATTAAAGCGAATGCAATCTTTAACTGTTTATCCTTTTTTTTCAGTTTCCCCAGTGGAACATAGGGCTTCAAGCTAGTGGCTTGAAGTTTCTGTAGCAGTGTTTATTTTACAGGATGGGGTTGCTAGACACATGCCCAACCTTTCCTATTTGCCAGCATTATTTCTGGCTGAGCGAGGTAAAGAAGTGCGTCGGCCGGGGATCGAACCCCGGACCATGCGCATGGTCGGCGAGCGTCCTAACCGCTATACCACCGATGCACGTTTATCTTATTAACATAACTACAAATACCTGTGAGTTTCTACGAAGGCTTAAACATGATATGTAAAATTGTGCTCAGTCCCACTTGGATGCAGTAAATTTGTGGTTTACTACTTTAGAAACTCGATTTTGATTAAGTGCTAGACTAGGTTATAACAAATTTCGATGTAGTTAGTGGCATCAGGCCATGAAGCTTCTGACTAATGATCTGACTTATTTATAGGTGAATGTATTGTAGGATATTGCGAACCAGTTTTTAAAGGTATAGCGAAATGACTGAGCCGATGAAATTACACCGGATCCATTAACTCTGCTTCCTCGGTTGGTACTGTCAGATTTCAGCATTGCTTATCACGTAAATTCATCAAATAATATACGGAACTATATCCAAACATTCATCTCCTAATTATTCTAATTTATCAAGTCAAATGTACAATTAATATATTTTAATGTGTTGAAACAACAATAATTGGGTATTTTTCTTTCTTGTTTCAGTTACGTCATGGTGTGTTACTATGACACGCAACGTAACCCATCAGATCATTTACGTCATATTCAAACATCTGTTCGTAAAGTTTTTAAGTGGTTCTGCGATCTGTCTGCTCCGCGACGTGTAGAATTTGTTTGTGGTATCTTAAAATTATCTACTCCACCAGAATTACGATTCTACGGCAGTTGTTTGGAGGAGATTGCTCGTCATGACTACGAGAGTCTTTTTGATGCTGAATTACAAGCAAATGAACCTATAAATAGTTATGGAGTTTTAACACTTTATAATACGTTACCACTAAAGCCTGATGTTGAAATAATTAATAAGTCATTGTCATCGATTATTCCACCTTCATTTCTCATATTAAATACTAGTCCAATATTACGATCAAAACTTATTCTTAGTCTTTCATTGCTTAAATCGACGAATATGCCTGGAGCTACGTGTTACTTTGAAACACTAATGGCTGATGATGTTGATTATAATGAATATAACGCATATTTACTGACAAATGATAAACCACCAACTGCTGTTAGTTGGCTAAAATCAAAATGGAAATTATCCAAATGTGTATGCATTCCATCAGATGATAGTGATGATGATAAGGATAATGATGGTGTTAACAGTAATAATGATAACGCTGATTATGATTTGTCTGCAGTTGAGGATGCCTTAAAGACAATTAATCCACAAGTATTAGAAGAGATTATGCTCATTTACACATTAGCTGCATTTCATCCCGCATTTACATTTAGTCAAAGACAACGTTTATATAATCGTTTATCTCTTATAAGGGCATTATATGATTATTCAACAAAGGTGTTAATGCCTCAACACACTAATCAGTGTGGAAATTTAAGTCAACCTACTCATTTATCTAATAATAATTCTACTACATGCGGAAAATTGTCCGCAAAATCACAATCTCCATTATCAAATCTTAAACATTATTGTTCTCCTAAAGAATCAAATGTTCCCTTAGTTTCTGTAGCCAAGCAAGTTTCTTCCTCTGGTGACCGGCGTTCATCAATACAAGTAAGTTGCTTAGTCGTGTATTAATCGTACAGCTACATATATATTTATCACTTGATCAAAAGTGAGTGATTGGAGAGTGTATTTCGTGATTGGAGTTAAAAAACAACTAAAAATACCCATTGATTCATGGAAAAAATTGATGTTAATTCAGCGAAGAAAATCTCCTTAGTCGATAGTCATCTTCAAAAGTTTTACATCGTATTTATTATATGTAGTCATGGCATTGTTATCGAACGGACAGCGCAAGTTAACTCCTCGACCAGTTCTCAGGCGTCTGGTGAACAGAAGGCATGTAGTTCCACCTCTTCTAAAATTATATATAAGATGTGGAAGGGTGGTTCAAGGAGTACTCAGTTTTAACAATTGTTTGCGTTGGAGGTTCTAGTGATTCGTCAACACAACCCTCCATAATTGTGTGCAGAAAGGGTCTATTCGGCTTGTCACTCCAGCATATTCCTGGAAGCCTACGTATCTGCTTGTTTCTTCGCTTAATAAGTAATGCACCATTCCTAGTCAGATATGTCATCTTTGTGCAATTCACCATCTTTCCATTATTTTTTGCAAGTGTCAAGTGGAACACAACCAAATATTCTTGTCATCTAGTAGCAATTTTCAATCTATCAAGTTTCAAACCTTTCCTTCCATTGTTTTAGTCAGTTATTATGTAATCCCCTGTCTTTAGGAACCACTCTTCTGGGTAGGTGTATCAATTAAGCCACACCCCTCTGTTACTGAATAATAGCTTGCTATCGGTTTTATTAAGCAAAGATACGATCGAGCAGTTGTTGAATATTCCTACTTACCAGTCATGTTTCAGTATACAGTTAGGTGTTCTGACTGATGTTTAAAAACGTCGACCGATTGCAGTCTAGGGTTGACTTTATGACCTCTGATTTAAAGTTTTGGGAACATGTATTATTCAGATTGCAATTTTAAATTCTTTCATTATTCATTGTGTCTGTGCTTGGTGTCCCTATCGAGGGTATGTTGACAATATGAGGCAGACTGAAGGGCATGTTGAAATGGTTTTCAGAAGCTTTGTACTGACAAATCTGTGACAGTGAATATCTTTTCCTATCTCGGTTTTTATCGACTGACAAAAATTTTGACAACAAAACTCCCGCATTGATCAATCTCTTTCAGTCTCAAGGATTCCAGCACATCAACAGTGTATTCATATTCATTTTGTTAACTAAACTATTGCTATTTCTGTAGAAAGTTGTCTAAAGATAACACCAGCCCGTGAAGTCTGTGACTGCTCGTCTAAGCCATTTCAAGGGTAGGTCCGCATAGTTGATGTCTTTAACATGTTAGAAATTTATGCTCAGAAATCTTAGTGAAATGACTCAAGTTTGTTTATCATCCTGAACATTACTGATCCTGATTTTCTCATCGCACATCTTCGTCGTGCTTGTGAACTGTTATATTATTTCTGTCTATTCCTTTCTCTTCTGTCTGACATTCAAAGTGTCATACGAAATAAAGTTTCTAACTGTAGGTTGTCAGTGGTCACACGAATCCTCTATCCGAATAATTTAGTGTTGCGCAAAAAATTGGACATCAACAGGAAGGTGGTCTTTTTTGAATTAGCTTTTATTTTTGTGTTAAACTGATACCTAAATTGTCGTTAATTTTAGACCCTTACTGACTAAAAATTGATATTGGCGTTGATAGGATGAACACAAGTCGAGCGAGATTTGTACCTGATACCCATTGGTTGGGAGTAAACTGCTTCCAGTCAGATAGGAATACGTTGCGTCAACTAAACTCATCGACTCAATGGCTCTAAACCACTTGGTTTCCAACCATTGAATCCAGGGTTTGAATTTCACATCACCGATTTCAGCATGAACAACTTAGTAGATATTATCAGCCTACATAAAATAAATATGGCTGGTAAATCTAGTGCTGGGTAAAATTTCAAACTAACTAACTAACGAGCCTGAACTCTTCATTTTTAAGGTTGAAAGAGATGAAAATATTCACCAGGTTGGATTGATCAAATAATTCTTGGTTTTGTACAGTTTTCATTTGTGCTGTAGTGTTACACCAGTCTATTTTAATTAACTATTAAGAATGTTGTTCACCAGGCCCTCATCATCATCATCACTTTTTACATTTAAATATAGTTCTAGTTGGCCGAAGCACTTTCAAGTGATAAGCCTTAGATTCCAATCCCACTTCGCATCATCTCACTAACGTTAACACAAGTAGGCTGTTACAAACTGTATATACTCTGAAATGTATGTCCCAGTAGTATCATGTCGGATTTGTCAACATTCCATTGATGCGTATGCATGTGATGTAGACAATTTATCTCATTCCTTAATTGTTTTTGTTTGTTTGTTTTTTCCTTTTTGTAGGATGACACTGGTAATCAATGTATTGGTCGTGCCGGTTGCGGCATCCTGCCTTGCCATTCCCCTAAATGCCGTAAGTGATAAATTGTTAATTACTAGTGTATTTTGTTTATTGATTTGTCTACTTTTAAAAGCAATTCGTTTGGTTTTTTTTCGAATTCTTTTTCTCAATGGCTTTTGAATTTTATCACAACAATATAGTGTGAACTTTAATTCCTAGTTGTTGTGAATTCACGAAAATACTTGGTTACAAATAACAGTAATAATAATAATTTACTTTATTCCAAAACACTACTTGTGATACAGAATGGAATTCTCAGCATATTACTACAGTATTGCATCCAGTTAGTACATTATCAATAAATAAAATTCTATGTAGATTATGGGTAGTCTCATTTAATTTTAACAACAAAATATTGGCAAGTCGGTGGCAAGCCGAAATTGAACAGGGTGTTTGAAGGTGTTAGAAAAGTAGATGCTAGCATATTTATTGGCGTAACCGTTAACAAAAAGGTCAAGATATACAGAGTGTGAAAGAACGAAGAAGAATGTTTTAAGTGGAGTTTGTAAAGAAGAAAGAAACAAAGCAGCACAGTAATATACCAGACAAATCGTAAATGAAAGAATGGAGGTGTAAAGTGAAAACCAAAACAAAGGATGAACTATGAGGGTTGTATAATGTTAACAGTAAAAGTGAATCGATGAGATATAGGCGGTACACACATGTGTTATGCGTGTCAAATTACCGACTTCCTCATCGAGCAATATTAGTTGATATAAGATTAGGTTGGAAAAGGGTTAAGGGTGATCACACCAAGACTTCGACATTAGTCCATGAAATCCTTGACGGCCGGTTTGAGTCACGCGCGGGGGGGGGTGTTGTAGACTGCTTGTTTAGGGTCCTTGAGATGCTAAGAAAGCAATGGCTGGAGAATATTGGTATTATTGCTTGAATTTGTTTTCAAGTGGCGCAGATGAATTCACTCTATGTAATTTGCTATATTCACTAAACAGCCATCCTTTTCTCTTATTACTTTTCTTTCTCCTACACATCTGTACTTATTATAGCTTTTTCGAATTCATTTTGTCGCGTCTTTTTCTAACTCTGTGTCCTGAATACAGTGTGGGAAGTTTAACCTTCTGTACTTTTGTGTGGAGTTCTATGTTGAAACTCAATCAGTCAGTCAGATATACCAGACGAATTGTATATGAGTGAATGGTGATGTAAAATGTAAGCATACAAAATAACCTGTCAACTTTTCTCGTGAAGAAATATTCAGTAGCCTGTCAGTCGATTAAGTTATTGTGATGTAGCCATTCCATGTCGTGCTATATGCACTACTTCAGTGATTACTGTCTATCTAACAGTGCATCATTCTAACTCATGACCCGTTGGTTTTCTGCTATTTCATTAAAAAGTACTAACTATCCTTTTTCACATTATTTCGCCTATTATCGTTGGATTAAGTAGTACGTACTCGTCTTACAATCAGCTGGTTAATCTTGGTGGGCTGTCTCGTAAATGACACCGGTCTTTCTCTCGAAATGTTTTCATATGTCTACCGGTCCATAACCTCTACTGGGTAATTCCTACTTACTGACCCCACATGGCAGTGTTCTTGCAGAAGTAAAAGGGCAGAAGCCTGGAGTTTATCATTGAACTGGTAGGCATAAAAGACCAATTAAGGAAATCCTAATATTGTGCATATAAGCTTCATCATCTGATGGGAACGAAAGGTGTGTCAGTCTGTTTTAGTCACGGGTATTCATGGGATTGCAACTCTTGATGTTACTCTGCTGTCTTGGGGACTAGATTTCAGGTTAAATTTCAGACAGAAGCCTTGTAGGACAACCGCCTATTTTGGTTTAGGTAGTGTCTCTTAGTCCCCACGCAATTCTGTAGAAAACTGTACTCGAATATACTCTCTCGCAAATTACTTCGTAGGCCATCTTTACACTTTCATTCAGTTTACCTAAGCTTTGTATACAGAAAACTGTATCAGATAAATGTGTTGTATGTAGTTATCAGAACATTATTATTATTAGGTGAGCGGTAGCATTCATCTTTGAAATATTTCTGATCAAATGTAGAAGTTGGGAAATCACTGGTCAGTTTTTCTCCGGTAAACTATTTTTACCTCAGTGAAATGCATGCAGTTCAATACAATAAATGATTCGCTAAGATGTTCCTGTGGCATATATATCACTTTCTATATCCTACACTTGTAAAGTGGTGGTGGTGAGTTTAAACACTGTTCCATTACCAACTGAGAAACATTCGTGTATTTTTTTTAGTGTGTGGGCGGTTGGTACTTCCCAGCTGCCCGATACCGTGAAAGTTGATTTCACTTCTCGGAGTACCTGGAACAGAAAGAGAATTAGTGCTGCATTACGACTGCAAAGCTAAAGGGATAACTGCTTGAGGTTAATCACACACGACCTGTTTGAACTAGTTTGTAGAGTTGTTTCGGTATTAGGAACTTTTCACCGGTTACTATGACCCACTGTAAGGTTAGTCGGAGTATACAATTTTTGGGGTCGAACTTTTCTGCCTGTTCCCCAGCAGTACGATTTTTCCTACAGACCCTCGACATAGTGTAAGCATCCTACACCATGCTAGTAACCGCTCTTAGTCTAATCGCAATCCTAACAATCTTTCTGGCATGGTAGGACCTGCAGAAAAACATTAGCTCCAGCCAGTGTAGCTTGTTGGGGGGTTATTGGGATGTAGAAGCCCGACCATCACGTCAAGATAGCACCTATCAGCCAGGAATACCAACCGCCTAATGATAAGAGCTGAATTGGCTGGAGCACTTCATCATGAACTGACATCAATTTGAAAACCATTGGAAAACCAACTGGCAGTACTGGGCAGCTGTTTCGTCCCAGTTTGCGACTCCTCATCAGCACGTACCCGCCGGGGTTCAAACCCAGAACCTTCTGGTCATAAGGCCAGCAATCTCGTAGACCATTAAGCCACTGGGACCCGATCCAGTGGCCAGCCCATGAATTTTAACTTCTGTCATTTCGTGACATAGCGTGACCACATCGCATTGTCTTCTTCGATGACGAGTTACTGAATCAGCTTCAACCTGCTGTACCCTACTGATCACGGCTTCCCACTAGAAACCCAGGTTAACTGTCTGATGACTAGAGCCAGTCGCTAGTGAGCAGATTTATTCTCAGATATTGGTTTTGTAGAGATTTTCGTTTTTATTGGTCGGAGGATTTCATCCTAAGGTGAAACCCGAATTCTCATTATCTCCTGTGTGTATGTGTTGCTATCGTTATCTTTTCATTGAGAAACTACATATACTCGGAATATTCAATATTGATAATCTTTCTAAACATACATACCAAAGATAAATTAATTATGCATATATATATTATGTGAAAGAGGTATTGAATTAATTGTACTTGATTTTTGAGGCCTTTATTTTTTCTTTCACATCATTTTGTCAACTTGCATTGTGCCCACTTGCTTATTTTTTATTTCAATGCAGGTCAAACTTCTTTTTTATTTGTTCATTGTTCAATTGATTATTAGTTAGTATTATTAACCTTTTCAAAAAATAGTCTCTTTTCTTTCTTCACACACGGAATCATCACTTCATTTATTTATCTTAATTTTAGTAATTTTTCCGCTTAGTCTTTAGTTAATTGAATTTTATATTAATTATTCTTTGGGTCTTTTTTATCGCATTGTTGTGTTTGTTTTTACGTAATTAATATTCATTCAATCAGTCAGTGTGTCGATTAACCTAAAATCAATTATTAAATTGCGATGATAACTCATATTTATCGGTGTATGTTGTGTTTTTTGTTTATGAACTGGCATAGATTAGATTATCTTTATATAGTAGCTTGTTTATGATCTACAACATAGTCAACCTTCAATCAATAAAAAATGAAAGGTGTGATGGTCACAAAAGCTTTGTGTGCTTTTAAAAGTGTGTGTTCGGTTATTCCCTCCTCCTTCCTCCTCATGGGAGTTGATTTCTTCTTGAAACATCTGGTTTGATACAGGGGAAGTACTGATTTGTGTTGTGTAACTGCAGAGCCCAGGGGACAACTGCTCGAGACAGACCACACACATATATACATGGTCTGTTCAAAATGGTTTTTAGAGTTACGTCCGGATTAAAATCTCACCAATGGCTGTGGAACGCCTCAAGGCATATTGGGATGTACAATATTCGGGGTTGATCATTTCTAACTCACCCCCTCTCTAGAGCGAGAAGGCAGCAGAGATGGCATACTGGTCATCTGAGCTAAACATCTAACTGTTGTTACACTCCTGATGGCTGGCGGTTTGACTTCGTCCACAGACCTCCAACAACTTACATTATGATGGTAACTACTTTTAGTCTAACTGCATGGATGTGTATGAACATTAGTTTCAGCCAGTGTAACTCCTTAAGTAATCATTTGATATACTAAGCCAGCAACCACATCGATGGTAGCAGCTCTCGTTCAGGTTTGAATCAATCGATCTCGTTGGTGTGTGTGTGTGCATGTGTGTACATTTTTTGCATGTTTGTAATTCTGCCCTATTTATCTTCAAACTAGGTAACTGGATAGTCTCATTAGTTTTTCTACACAGTAGGCTTGGTTTACAGCCCCTGGTGGCGTAAAGAAATATGTACTTCGGGTAATTGATTGAATTCCAAATAGAATGTGAATAGACAGTCTTAGTGGATCTTGGATATAAACAAGTCTACACGTATATTCTATATGTTTTCAACTGCTGTGAGGTAATTAACAGATTTCAAGTACACCAATCAGAATCTGTTTATTTTCTGGCTGAGAAAAGTAATGCCTGGGCAACTGCCAAGCGGAAGTGAAATGCACTTGCCTTCTCTCAGTTATCCAAATTATGTAGAGCATTATACGAAATAATTTTAACACGAAACATTGAAAGTTGGATATGATGTTGGAGGATGAGTTCAACCGTTAAAGTTTTGATTCTGTTTCATGGTTGAGATAATTAGGCTGTATGAAACAAATGATAGAGGTGATGAAAATGCCTAGTAATTAACCACAAGAAGTATCACTCAACATTGATGAGATGAATCTAAAGGAAGTCCCTACGATCACTTATTGAAACAGCATCGTTTCAACAATAGGTGGCTTATATGAGGATGTCAAAGTTTAATCGGAAAGGCGAGACAGGTGTTCAGTACTTTGGAATCACTGTGGGGGACAATATCTTAATTTCCAATCCTAATGTAAAGTCAGTGCTTCTGTATGGTTCAAAGGACTTGATGCATTACAGAAGGTATTTCCGACAGGTTGGAGACTTTCATCAACAGCTGCGGCGCTTGATTTCGAAGATCAAGTAGCAGATCTACCAAAAAAGATAACAGATAACTCTGACAATGAACCAACAAGTAGGCAGAGGGGAATATATATGAATAGATCCGGACGTACGTTGAAGAGACTGTTGAGTAACATCACACTTGCAGCCAGTGGTGGAGTCAGCTGAAAAATCTTCACCGGAGAACAGAATACAGTGAAGATGTGCTTCATTATCTCTGTAGTCCACTTGAGACCCAAAGGAGTCCTTGATTGGTTTCATATTGCTTCTTCTTTCTAGCTATTTGATATACACAGTGATCAAGCCAACGAAGACAGCTTTCGATGAGTGCTTTTCATGACATCGTGTGCCCGTCAAGTCTCTGAGCTCTATATAGACATTAGTCTTGAAAATTCAAAATTACCCTAAACAGCATTGTCTGGTATGAAATGATAGAGAGAGCTTCGCAATGAAAACTGCTTAGCTTTCATACCACACATCACAAACATCCACATGAGCTACAAATATCTTCCATTAATTTAAACTCAAATCAATCCAATTAAGTCTGTGTGAATCGTTGTATTTTTTAAGCTTCTTCATATGATCAACATATATACTAGTGTGTGTGTGTGTGTCCCCGTCTGTCTAAGTGAAGTTATCATGATCATCAACAAACTCAGACAGCATATAAGTTAATGTTTTGAAATCTATATTTCTGATGTGTTATCATGGTCACAGTGTTTTTCTGTTGCTGGTGTTGTTGTATTTATCTGTTTGTTTATTACACTTTTTCTTTGCCATCAATTAATACGTCATACATAGCCGTTTCAATTGTTTAGATAAAAAGGAAAGCGAAACAAGATTGCAACACTTATCTTGTGTTTTGTTTATAATTTATTTTCTTTTCCAGACTATTCAGCCTCTGTTGTAACACGTCATCGACTCCGTCGTCATAGCTTACCGTCAGATTGTCTACTACCACTTGGTGGTAGTAATGAAGATGAAGTTGGTGACAATAGTAACACAGTATGTGCAACATTTTGATTATTACATTGTCTCACGTGCCTTATCTGTTATTATTATTATCATTCCCTTAGGTTCTGAGTGGAACCTAAGGCTTCGTGCATGTGTGTGTGCGTGTGAGCGCGCCATCTAACTGTGTATTCGTTTACATCGCGCTTGGCCTAAACACTCTACTATCCACATATGGCTCCCTGGGTTCAAATCTCGCTATCGGAAATTTGTGTGGCTCATATAACCTCGTGCATACGATACGACTGACGTTTTCCTGCAAGAAACTGTTCAGCCAGAACGCGAAAGACAAGCTGTCTCATTGGGCCACCTCAACGTGCATATACCAGTTTACTTGCTCTTTTGGAGCTAAGTACGTTGACCGTACCATGCGCCGACTTGAAAAAGGCGCTAGTGAACACTATCCATACGATATTTCTTCCGCATTGACCGAGTCCTAACTGTTCATATTATTTAAAAAAACAAAGTTGCTATATTATGGGCAACACAAGTGATATGGATTGTGAAGCAATGAGACACGTCATCCAGAAGTCAATATATCTTTGTAGTCTGTATTCTTGAGTGTGCAATTATAATCTTCTATGGAATTGTTGTTTTATGGTTGGGTGTGTGTGGGATGAGATATTGACCTGCAGCCCAAATCGAAGTAGGTGGTTGTTTTTGGGGGCCGCCATGGTTTCCGGTGTCCAAAACAGGTGTATACGCCATTCTATTTGTTTGTATCCTGGAACCTGTGTACACCATGTATTTGGAATCAGAGTTCTCCAACTCCCTTTGGTGGATCACAGTGTCCACCAGTCCTGGTGTAGGCACCAGGTGTTTGAATTCGCTCTAACTTTTTTGAGGGATATTCCTACCACATGAAGGCAGTGAAGTAGGACTTATTTGGCTGAGAATAAGAACGCCTGGCCATATGAGGGCATTGCAAGAGGAAGAGCGAAGTCTATCCACCATTGTCTGTACTAGTTAGTTTATTTGGGCGAATTATAGTGTCCAGCCCAGCTAGTCTGTCACGTTATCTGGTATGAAATAAAATGAGAGAGAGGGAGCTTCGCAATGAAAACTACTCAGTTCTTATGCCACCCATCACAAACATCCACCTGAGTTAAAAAATATCCTCCACTAGTTTTTAAACACATGGACTTCTCAAATCAATCAATTAAGTCTATGTGAATTATAGTGTCCAGTCCAACTAGTCTGTCACATTGAATACTAGTCCTTGAAGCTGAACGATTTGACGAAGGGTTTTTATAGGTTAGTAGGTCATATTCTATGTCGACTGCAAATTTGTCCAGTTCTCTGTGCTGAGGGAAAACTGTCTACTGAGATAACTTATCTTACTGGTTGACTTATCATCACTCACGCTTGCTTCTGAGTGGTAATAACAAGATGTAGACACATGCGCATTGGGTAGTGGGTTCAAATCCTGCTCCACTTACTTCAGCTTCCATGACTGATAGTGTCACCAGTCCTCGGCTAGTGAGTGTGTCTCTTATACCCCTGGCACTTAGAAGATACATTTCGGGCGTTCTTTTGAATTTTTCTTTATGCGCTTGTTGTCTTCCTTACAGTTTCATGTTGTATTCTCAACTCTTGTCAGGAAGCCTACTTTGACTCACAGAAACAGTTTTTCAAAAAAACTCCATAGGTGGTTAACAAAAATACTCTTTCCTCATTGAATTTGCAACCCTTCACATTCTGATGTCAGTGAGAGACAAAAAATCAAACTGAAAACCAAATTAATGTCGCTTATTTATTAGTCAAGTAATTCATTCAACGTATATTGAATGTGATCTTGTTAAAAAAACAAAACAATTACTGCGTTTTTTAATTACCTCAGTATGAGTTGTCTGCATTTTCAACATTACGGATCGAAGAACAATTTGTGTAATCAGTTTCATGTTATACGAATCAGGATATAGATGTTTTTTTTGAATTTCCTGAGTTCAACACCGTTTTTGTTATTTACTCTCAATTATCCGGATCCCATTATTCCAGGCTTAAGTATATGGAAAGAGTCTCGAACCCAGGGAGCCGTCGGTTGTAAATCGAGAGCTTGAACCGGTAGGTCACATCTCCCCTCAAGTATTGAAGATTTTAGTTAATGGAAACAGAAATGAGTACAGTGTGAGGAGATTGCACAATCATTAAAAATTAATACGATAATAATAGTAATAAGGCTTTATTTTTAGACAATATGTGAACAGACAGTACAGAAATTTTCAGCTTTCCTAAATACTTTGTCTTCATGTAGCATTTATGGGTATGTCATGTGACATAGCGTTGTTGCATATAAAGAGAGAGAGAGAATCAATTTCTGTACACGTTTTTCTTCATTCCCTTCAAGAAGTGTGCAGCGTTTCGTCGAAACCTAATTAAATATGTGCGCGAGTTAATGTAGTAGTCGTTTGATATAAGTTGTTGCATGATAAAAATAAGAAATGCAGACCGAGTTTTAGCATTCGCGTGGTTGAAGACTCGGCTAGCCCAGTGATGTAAGCAGGCTGCCGGGTTTTCCACGGTTCTTACGTTTCTCAGTACATTAGAAAGGTTTCGGTAAGTGATTTAACAACAAAACACCAAATAACCGTCAGCATATGGGGGAAGAAGAGGGGATTACTTAGCAATATGCGTTGGGGGGGGGGGAAGCACTTTTCGAAGTGACTTAAAGTCAACTAAGTGTTCTACTGGAACGTAACTGAATTAATCCATCTAAAATCACACTTCTGTATACGTTTTTGTTTACTATGACGCTATCTAGCGTCGGTGGCACAGCGGTAGAATCACTCGCCAGCCATGGAGGTGATTCGGGGTTTGGTTGTCGGCCGACGCATTCCTAAGCCAGTAATAAGACTTGTAAAGAAGGAAGGTTGGGCATGAGGCTAACAACCCCATCCTGTAAAAGTAAACATACGAATGCTACCGAAACTTCAAGCCTCTAGCTTGGAGTCCTATGTTCCACTGGGGACGTACAGGAATAAAATTAAAAAGCATTACACTATATAATATATACTAATAGGGATATATTGAAATATAAGTCACTTTGCTTTTTGTATTGCATCATTTGTGCAAGAAAAACATATACTTTCATTCCTCCTTGACCCTTTTTTCCATTATTAGATACAATCTACTGAAAATCAAAATCCCCTTGTTATAGACTCGTCGAAAACGGATGCCTTAGATGTAGCCCCTATAACAAGCGCACAGACTGATTCATCACCTATGAATAATAGACCAGATAAATCTATTGCATTATCCGATCAAAGAGGAAATCCTGCTCCATTCAACCGCAGCAATGACAAAGTTGCCAGTGTTGTCAACACTGGGAGTGATAGTAGTAGTCGTAATTCTGATGGATTTATGATGAACCCACAAAACTCTCATAATGGTAATGGTGATGGCAATGATAATAATAATAATAATAGTAATAATAATATTTATCCTAAAACAGCACGTTGCCTCTCTTGTCGAGAATACACTAGCAATAGTAGTGGTCGTGCTGGTGGTGTTGGAGAGACTGGTGACGATGTCGGGAATAACACTGTAGACTTTCCTGACTCAAATTATCTTAAAGAAGTTCACCTTTGGTTAAATAATCCAGATCGTTCTGTTGTAATTCCTGGTGATCATCACGCCTACATCTCTTCATCATCGAATACAATGCCAACTAAGTCATCATCTATAAGTTTATACACATTATCAAATCACACGTCTATGTCGTCTGTTCTATCATCAAATAGTCAGTCAACGTCTAAATTACAAATATCTCAAGAGAGTGGTACCTGTAAACAGCCGAGGGAAGAGAAGGAGCAACAGCAGCAGCAACAGAACCAACCACCGCACCCACTACCACCACAACAACAAAAACAGCCATCCCAGCAGCAGCCACAACAGCAACAAAAGAGGAAGAGAAGGAAAAAAGCAAATTGTTCAAACCAAGTACTGACAAATAGTAGTAATGGAGGAGGTGTTGTTGTCAGTGGTGGCGACAGTGTTGCGGGCAGCGGTGGTAGTGGCACCAGCAACAGTAATAATCGTCTTGACTCGTCAGATGACTGTCAGTCGTCTCTTGGTGAATCTTGTACAAGTAAGTGATAATTAATAGATTGTAAATACGGCATGTTACAATAATCATCAGCCTGACATTCATTGTTTTATGTTCATCTGACTAATAAGCTGAGTTTACTTTTCAGTTGAGTGAGTGATCGAAATGATGGTGTTATTTCCCTCGAAGCTGTCTCTTATATAAATGAATCATTTTGGTAATCAATTGGCTTTGGCATGGTTATTTTGTGAGGTGTCGTCGATGGTTCAGGTGTAGAAATATAATGCTGCTCACCCAACCACGCAAGTGAGTGTGGGCCCGGTTTCTGTTTCCAACGAATTCACTCCAAGACCCCACCTAGCTTATTAGTGGATAAGAAGTAAGGCTAGTAACACCATCCAGACTCACGAAAACAGTACCATCACCATTGAGACTTTAGAGCTTGAAGTAAAAATCATGCTTTTATAACCTCTTCTTCGATTAGTTAACGTGTCCTGATCATTTAGATTTGTCTAGAAGACATCTGAAAATACTTCAGGTATCTGATACCAGTATTTCTGGTAGTATTATTTAAAAGGCACCAGTATCGTAAGATTATGTCTACGCTCACCTTACAAACAACCGGCGTGTTAAACTTGTCATAAAATAATGTTTGAACCATTCAGATATTATCTGAAACGGTAATAAAGGACTCATTAATAACCAATCATATTTCACTTCATAGGTAAGTTAGGCATACTAAAAAGACTGAAATCTATTGTTTACTGTACACACACGATAAAATAATTCCAAAAGGTCATGTGATTAATCAGAAGTGCCTCTCCTTCTTCTCCCATCACCTTGAATAGCCTTGAGTTAGTTAGTATCATGTGATGTGCTTGTGAAACAAGTACAATCATGTTAGTATTGATTTCATGAAAGTAGACGTTAATGTGATGAATATGTTTTATGCAATGGATGATACCGGGATTTTCTTTGTATGTTTAAATATATCTGAATTTGCATGTGTCATCCTAGCGGGGAACAAAACAGGTCTCAGACATTTTATAGGCAGTGGCAGGAATGCTCGCCAGTTGCACACGTGATCGATCAGGGTTCTGTTTCCAACGGATGCACTGGTAAACGCCGCTTAGCCGATGAAAAAGAAGGAAAGTTACCCTGTTGTGAAGCTAGGAGTGGATAGTATCTTTAATATTTAGGAGTTTGTGTATTACATCTGCACAAGCGTTTTCTTACTGAAATATGTGTTTTCACACAAGAGCTTGGAAAAACGAATTGATGAGATACGTTGGATATATTCAGATTTATAGGCTTGAAGGTTATCGTCAAAAATCTTCGAGTTATGTCACTGCGAGTTTGTAAGTCTTGCTTGGTCACTTATCAGCCCCATAGTTGCTTCTCTTCATGTCTCGAATATTCTCCCTTACTCTTTACCACCCACGTATAAAGAACAAAATTCTTCTGACTAAATGTATTTGTAAAACTTGGGCACTGTAGTAGTAAGTGATTCCATATTAGTGTGTTTATTAGATGTATATCACGCAGTGAAAGTATTAGTATTTACTGGATGATGTTCCGAACGAAATTTATTGTTCATAATCGTAACACCAATTATAATCACACGACTTCGAAACTTGAGTTTTATAGATTCCGTTGCCCTCTCCTATTTATCGTAGGGGTAATAGAATTTTCCAGATATCTGGGGTAGGTGTTGAATCATTCCTATTACACGTGTTTGCAGTCAATTCGATAAACAAAGCTTCTGTTATCAATCTCTCTCTCCACCCTGTTAGAATAGATTTTAAAACTGTCATCTCATCCCATCCTATTGTATGGTAGTTCAGCTATAGCACAACATGCAATTACACACAACCACATAGTAGGATGGGATAAGATGACAGTTTTAAAATCTATTCCAACAGGGTGAAGAGAGAGATTGATAACAGAAGCTTTGTTTATCGAATTGACTGCAAACACGTGTAATAGGAATGATTCAACACCTATCCCAGATATCTGGAAAATTCTATTACCCCTACGACAAATAGGAGAGGGCAACGGAATCTATAAAACTCAAGTTTCGAAGTCGTGTGATTATATTTGTTTGGCAAGATTATGAACAATATATTTTGTTCAGAACGTCATCCAGTAAATACTAATACTGTTTCACTGTGTGATACATCTAATAAATAATACGGAATCTTCTAAATAAACCTCGCATTTTATATTTACGAGCTCAAATGCAGTTTGTATAGCACCTTTTTATGCATACATGTAGAAATAATGGAGTGTTCCAATTCCATCTAGAAACAATATATACCTCAATGATTTTATTGAATCATACGTAATCCATTCAAAAATGGATCTGATGTCAATAGAAATCGTGCAACACCCATCGTAAAACATCATCATTAACGTCTAATCTTACTAATTAAATCAATAGCACTAATGGCTGTTGTTTTTGTTGTTTCATCATCATATCACATGATACTTATTCAAGGTTATTCAAAGTGATGAAGGAAATAGAAGAAGCACTTTTGATTAATCGTTTGACCCCTAAAAATTATTTTATCGTGTGTGTATACAGGAAAGACTAAATCTCAAGATATTTACCTACTCCCCCCCCCCACCACCAATCCTGCGCTGATTCATCGACCTATGAATAAAAATGTCCTTGTCCATTTCGTCAAACAGCTACATGGTCAAACATTATTTTATTACAGTTGAACACGCTGGTCGTTTGTAAGGTGATTCATTTTATAGGTACTATGACATAGTGTCATCTTATTATAAATACCTTATTTGAGCCTATCCATACATAAGACTAGCTGTTGGTATATACTACTGACAGGCGTGAGTAGTTGGAAACTACTCATGTCAATCAATAATGCGTTCCAGTAAGTTGAAGGCATGATTCATTGCCTTAGGCACTCGGTTTCCAGTCAATCAATTGTGGGTTCGAGTTCCACTTCACTTACTTCAGCCTTAGCAGCTGAGTGTGGTTCCTTAACCCTTATACATGGAAAATATGTTCCTGGTGATGGAGCTGCCCAGAGAGAAATGATCCAAGCACCAGAGAGTTGTTTCTCTAGTTTGAAAGGGGGAGATGATCAGTGGTGTACTCCGGGTTTGATATGAGTAATATCCAACTATTCATAATGATCAGTCCATTATGCTTAATTAATTGATTGCTCATAATCTTTATCTGTTTGGGTTCCTAAAAGTAACTGTGTGTAAATAGAAACATTATAACCGTTCCAGTTCATCCTTTCGCCACTTATTTATTATAAGTCTCCGGATGAGTTTGTTTTTTGGAGCTTTAACGCCAACGCGATTTTAATTTATTAGGCGCAGCAGTCAGTCACCACCTGGGTTCGAGTTTTTTGAAACAAGATAAGTTCTTTCAAGATTGCAGATACTCCTTGGTGACTGATGAGTGTCAATAAGCACGAAACCCTAGGCCTATGGCCTCCTATCGATTGCCTCCAATCGTCTAATAAGAACACTAGAGTGCACCGTGATGGCGAGTCATTTAGCATGGTGTGAGGCCGCATCGCAAACTTGACTGATAAGAATTGAGCCTGCACTCAACAAAGGACTATTATTATTATTATTATTATTATTAATATTATTATTATTATTATATACTTTGATTCCTAGAGGAACATAAGGCTTCAGCCGCGCGTCTCCATTGCCTTCGGTTTTCTGCTAACTTTTTCACCCCGCTCCAAGTCTGCCCACATGCTTTCATCTCCCCTTCACATAACGTCCTCCATGTCACCCTCTCACTGACAACCAACTCGCTGCTTCCCTTTTGGGTTCCACTGGAGCGATAGCCTGGCTTGTGTTGTCGCTTGATGGTTTCCTCAGAGTATGGCCAATCCATCTCCATTCCTTCCTACCTATTTGTTTCACAATCGGTACCTGGTTGGTTCGCTCATCGCTAGAGATCCCTGTTGTTGATCTTCTCTGGTCATCCTATCTTGAGTATTGAGTGAAGACAGCTAGCTGTTAAAGGTATGTAATTTGTTTGAGGTGCTCTTTATGACGCGACAAGTCTCTAATCCGTATAGTAGCACTGACTTCACATTGGAGTTGAAAATCCGGATCTTATTTTTGATGCTGATTGCTGTTGACCTCCACACAGACTTGAGAGTAATGAAAGCTTGTCTTGCTTTTCCGATTCTGGCTTTGATGTCCTCGTCAGTTCCGCCTGTAGTTGAGACGATGCTTCCCAGGTAGGTGAAGGAGGTTGTTTCTTTCAGGTTCTTCCCATTTATGCTTATTGTGGTCTGTTGGTGTTGTTGATGTTGGCTAGGAATCTTCATTATCTCTGTTTTATCTATGTTCACGTGAAGTCCTATCTTTGATGCTTCTTCTGCCAACTTGTTGCTTTTCAATTGCATATCTTCCAGTTTGTGAGAAATCAGACATATATGATCGGCGAAGTCCAGATCCTCCAAGTCTTTTGTGTGAGTCCATTTTATGCCTGTTTCCTCATTGCCCGTTGTCTGTCGCATTGTGCAATCTACTGTAATCAGGAAGATCATTGGCGATAATAGACAGTCTTGCCTCACTCCCGTCTAAGGACTAGATGTATATGAAATAATGAATAACAGATAAAATTAGTTACATCGATGTATTGAATAGTTTTCAGTTTTTATTTAATATAAGTTCTTTGATGAAGTATCTTTTTATTTTGTTTATTTGATCCAATGTCTTCGATCCACTTTATTCATTGTTTACTTCCTGTACTCTCAATTGCCTATTTAGGTACAACAACAAGGACTTTAACTGCCTCTGATGGGCCATCAGTTTACAAAGATCTGGTTCGATCATCTGTTGATTTAGTGACCTCGGTGCCTTCGATTAGTTCTAGTTCAGTAACTGATCCAATCTATTCTGAATCATTGTGCTCTTCATCAACACGTAATGATAATAATAATAGTAACAACAGGCGAATCAATCCAACAGCATCAGATTCACGATTTTCTTTCACTACTGAAAAGTGCACAAAAACGATAACAGAATATTGTCGTTTAGTCCCAAAGCGCCATAGCTCGGGTTCCTCACCAATCTCTACACCACCATCTGAAGAAAGCAGTTCTGATACAACTGCTTTAAAAGCACCTTCGCCAGAATATTGGACACCGAAAAATTCTTCACGTTACACTCATGGAATGTGGAATAATAGTCACAATAATAATAATACTCCATATCATGATTCATACAATCGTCATACATTCCAACCGGTGGCAAATAATAGTTATCATCAATATTCACAAACTAAAAACATTCCATCATCGTCTGTTGTGAATTCATCCACTATTAATCGACAGTCTAAATTATCTAATTGTATTACAGTGGTGGCATCATCACATTCCACCAATGTAGTAGCAGCAGCATCAGAGCGTAAATCTCAATTCACTCCAGACGATTTCCCTTCTTTGTCATCGTTACGTTCTGTAGTCAGTTCAGAGTCATCAAATGTTTCAACTAAGTATAATAAAGTAGTTCATTCGAGTAACAGTCAAAATAATATTGTCAACACCAATAGTAGTAATGGTGTCGTTAGAAACAGCAATGCAGTTAACATTATAGCTACCTCCATTCCTCTGTCGTCTAGTGAATCATCATCATCATCGCTGCCTCTTGGTAAATGCTTCAATAATCAGTCCAACTTGAAGGAAAACAAAGGTAAGCTCTCGAAGTTATCAGAAAAAATCTATAAACAAATAGCCTAAACGCCTTTCTTAAGTATGGTGTGATTATTCCATTTCTTTTTTTAAATGGGGACCCAAAACCTATACGCCGGGCTGACTCATTGGCACTTTCATTGGCCATTGCGTCATTATAGGCTAGAATGCCACTTCACCTACTTACTCTCTAGCCTAGACAACTAAGTACTGTCCACAGCACTTACATGATAAGTATAGCTCCTATAGCTTGATGCATATAATATATGTATATGTTTGGGCGACTAGCAAACTTTATACTGAATGAATTCTTCCGTCAATTCAACAGTCGACGGAATGACTGACTGACTGACAGAGTTTCAGCATAGAACTTTCCACAGAAGTGCAGCAGTTCAATTTATCACATTCCGTACGTCACACTTGGCCTAATAATACTCGGCTTTCTGTCAGTGGGTCCAGAGTTCGAGTCCTTACCTCTGTCCCTTGGGCAACTGGATAGTACCACCAATCCTCATACAATAAGAGTGTAAGTCATGGCTTTGGGAAATGAAAAACCTGTGTTATGAACTGACTCCATAAAAATATAGTACACAGAAAGGATTCCAGAGAGAAGAAAAAACTCAAAAGAACTATAATAAACAGGAGTGTGTTGGCTAAAGAATATTAACATGGAAAAGATTATGGTTTAGTTGATACGATGGGTGATCAGAAAAAGTGAACGATTTGTAGCCACATCACCAATAGTCTCCGACTATCTGTTGTTAATATCCTGAAGACCCTCAACTAGGCAGCCTATATCGTTCTATATGACTGGTTCACACCAGCTGTCATGAACTGATACCATGTTTCTGTTTGACCATCCCTGACTCTTTTCCAACTTAATCTTATGTCAGCTAACTGTGTTACTGTCAATTCAGTTAATTAAACTGAACCTGTGTGGAATATATATATATATATATATATACCCTGTATCAGCGAAGAGTTGCCCATTTATGTAGCTGCATATATATACCTCACAGTTCATCATTAAGCTGGTGGTACTTTATAAATCTGACTTATGGAGTCCCCCTATGGAAGATGTTTCTCTATTCCTCATTCTCCGACAATTGTTCATATATTATCAAGATAAAATATGGAGTTCTGTCTGATAAATTAATCAATGATGATCATAACTGTGAACATCATTCCACTAATCGAGATGTAAATATGTCAATAAGTGGCAGCGAAGTGTCCCTTAAATACTGCTTTGTGTGCGTCAAATGTACTCGACTGGTAAAGGTTAGAAGGACTGATAAAGACTAGATGGATATCTGGCAGAGGAATTTTGATTTCTCCCGTGTATTGTTACGCAATGCTTCTTGTTACATCTCTGTTTCTATATGTACCCCTGTTTTTTGTAACGATTTCTGTCTTTATTGAGTGATGATGTTCTCGCTGAGGCTCCAACTCCAGTACCCATCGTTTCAAACGCCAGTCAATCGACCGGGAAATCAAAATTGAATTAAATATAAGTAATAATAATATAAATAATAACCCGTTGCACAAGAGGTGGTTCTATGGGTCCAAGTAGTCTAGTGAATAAGGCTTCGGGTTCGATCCACAGTGGGAACATCATCACACTTACTCACTCACTAGGGAATGCAGATGCATCCAGTTGACGAGTGCCACAAATAGGACGAAGTGCGCATTGTGGATTCCATTGCTAATCATCATTATCCACAAAAAATTACTTCAGGTTCAATCCTCAGACTTCGTTGAAACATCCGCACTAGGAGCCGGCATATCAACAGAGGCCGGCCATTTTCCGTCTAATCAGTGAACGAGAAAATCAAAATTGTAAAAATTATAAATAATAATAATAATAATTTCTGTCTCGTGTGGAATCTTCATTTCCATGTTTAAATGATGCCTGTATGTGTTCTTCTTTCGTGTCCTTTCCTTTAGATGCCACATCTCAGCCGAAAAATAACGTGAATGCCAATGATGGTGATACTGCTGCTGCCGGTGCTAAGCAAATTTCATTGAATTCACTTGACTACGTGTTGTTGAACAACAACTCTCAGCTGATGATAAGTGCAACAAATAGTAGTACAGTCAATGATATGTCTGGTATATCTCGTCTGGTGAATACTTCTGCAACTGGTAATTCTAATAATTTCACTATCTCACCACATTATTGGATTTCACCACATGGTCCTATACCTATCCTACCGTCAGCAGCCTTGTACCCACCGTCATATCTCTTGCCTTCATCACCGATAGTCTTCACCGATAATTCTCAGTCTGTACATCGTTTGCCTATGATATATCAATGGGCAGTACACCAACCGTGTAGCAGTACTACTACTGCCACTACTAATACAACCATTGCTACCAATCCGACCACCAATAATGGTCAAAGTAGTAATAATAGTGTCGGTGCATCTTTAATACCTTATTTACCGTCATGTGTTAGTATTGTTACAACTAGTGCTGCGGTTGTCGCTGCTGCTGGTGCTGCTGTTATGCATAATAATAATGTTATAAAATCTAAAAAAGGCAAACCTGTTGAACATGTTGATGGATTTTCACAAGAGTCATCTGATGAAGAAGCAGACGTTAAAAATGTTTGTCCAGTGATAAGTAATAGTGGTGAAGTATCCATAGTTTCTTCGAAATGTACTATTACTACCAGCACTTCTACTTCTGCTGTTCTGGAACTTCCAACACCGACGACAACAACAATAATAACAACCACAACATCCATGTCATCGACAAGTGATATGTGCACACAACCATGCATTTTATTACTGCCATCATCATCGGCAGCAGCATCTTCATGTTCCACACCAATCTCGGTTATTGTTTCTAGTGCTGCTGGCAGTTACAGTACAGCTGTTCAATCTACTTTTGACAAATCTACAGATCTTACAATTTCAAGGTTATCTAAACCTTCTAGTGGAATAAAGATGACGACATCCTCCTCCTCATCTTCTTCTTCCTCAATTTCATTGGTTCCGACAACTACAGTGAATGCTGGCAGTAGTAGTTGTTGGAGTGCTAATAAACTTAACAATAATACGATTAATAGTACTAGTGATAATAGTAATAATAATAATGCATCGGTGAAACGTTTAAATGATGAATTGGATTTAGCTGTTGTCAATAAAACTCAGAGGAAGACAACAACAACAAAAAATAGTTCAGTTGTTCGTCCCGTGTCGTTATCCACACCATCTATTTGTATGACTACAACTGATATCGTTGCTCCTTCCATTGCTGCTGCTGCTACTACTACTTCAACTACAATGGCGACAAAGATGGTGATGACGTCGACGACAACTACTTCTACTGCTGTATTCCTGCCAACCAGTAATATAACTATATTGTCTCGAAATCATTCATCGAACAAGTTAGTCAGATGTTTATTTTTATTTGTTTGCTTGTTTTTATTATTCGTCTGTCCATTTATCGATGACACATTGTATTGTATATAATCGTGTGTGCTGTTGATAGTTTTTACACTAACTAGTATGTGGGATGTTGCGGCTTATAGTTTCTGGTTTCACTCGGACTCTTGTTACACTCTGGATTGGTTACAGGTATGAGCCCCAATTCCACCTAAAGGTGATTTGAGTTAGACCTCACTTATCAACAGGGATAGTTCATCCATCGCTCAGATAAATTGAATTGCACACGTTTCGGAATGTGAGTAACATCAGCACACTTTTCTTCGCTTAAAATGATGAAATGTGTCCAAAAGCGGGTGTAGTGTTGACCTTGGTGAATGGTGGCATACATCAACTTGAGCCATCTCTGGCGCCATCGTGACGTTAGCCTCGCTGTCAGAGGTCGGATATACAATGCTTTGGTGCGAGCTGTGTTGCTCTACACCTGTGAAACCTGTCCCCCCTCCCCCGAGCTGAGGATGTCCAGCGACTCTGCGTGTCCTATCATCTCTGTCTCCGCAGGATTGCTTGCGTTCTATGGCATCATCACCTGAGTAATTCTGAGGTTCGGCGGCGTGTGTTTGAACACAGTGGAGATCACCATTCATTGAGTGTCGTCATCTGGAAACACCGGCTCTGGTGGCTTGGACATGTGCTGCGAATGTCATCCCAGAGGCTCCCATACAGGTCTCTGTTCGCTAGCCCTAGGATTGGATGGAAAAAGCGGAGGGGTGGTCAGTCCATGATGTGGCATCGTGGGATGAAGGATGTGTGTGTGCTAGATTAGCATCGGTTGGTGTGTCACGACTCCCTGGTTGGGGTCCGAGAGATAGCTCGAATCGATGGCTCGAAACGTTATCGGATATGACCAAGAATCGTAATCAATAGCGAACGTGTTGGAATTTCCTTCCTTCTTCCCTTCTCGATGATAGTTAACGTATACTGTCTGAGCTTGTTAAGCATGACTGTTTTCCTTCTAGATGAAGTTCTTTATCCGTTCTCTACTTATGTTTTTACTTTTATGTTGTTTTGTTATTGTTGTGTGGCGCATCTTTCTTGGTGCCATTTTGTACTAAGATGCAAATGCATGATGATGTTACAGGACTTGACCATACTGACTCCTAGATTAGGAATAGGAAGTGAAGTGGTAGAGCACGTTGACCGCTTCACCTATCTGGGAAGTACCATCAGCCCCAACGGGTTGATCTCTGACGAAATCTCAGCACGGATACAGAGGGCTCGTTTCGCATTTGCCAGTTTACGCCGACTTTGGCGTAGACGAGATGTTCGCTTATCGACTAAAGGGCTGGTGTACTGCTCATCAGTCCGCTCCGTCCTCCTTTATGACTGTGAGCCAGACATGGCCACTGAGAGTGGAAGACATGAAAAGATTAGCTGTCTTTGATCATAGGTGCCTGCGCTCTATTTCCCGTGTAAAGTGGCATAATAAGGTGAGCAACATTGGAGTTAGGCGTTGAGTTCTAGGTAAACAGGGGAAATCAATCGACGAAGTCGTGAAGTTACAAAGACTGAGATGGTTAGGACATGTGTTACGTATGCCAAGTCATCGCCTCCCTCGATGAGCAATGTTAGCGGATATAGGCTCAGTCTGGGAAAAAGCTAGCGGCGGTCAAACAAAAACATGGCACCAGTCAATGAAATCTAGAACAGTTGGTCTAAGCCACGTAGGAAGGTGTAGACTTTCTGACTGGTTGGGGTCCTCGAGACGGTAAAAATCTATGGTTGGTAATAATTGGTGACATGGCTCAAAATCGTTGTCAGTGGCGCAGATGCATCCACTCCTTGTGACTTATGATTTCCAATGAAACTATTTTGTTCTTCGTTATTACTCCTCCTTTGTCTCACACCTCTGCTCACTGTCTCTATTATGCTTTTCTGGTACTTTCTTCTCTTGCTTCGCGTGCTACACGGAGTGTGGCGACTTGAACTTCCGCACATTTGTGCAAAGTTCTATGTCGAAAACAGACAGACAGACTGGCGCTCGACGTCACCGTACAGTCTCCAGCTTGTGTTCGATTCATCTCCCTTTTTATCTTCGTCATTGGTTCGTTCCTGAAGTTTCTTGTTGCCACTTTTTCCCGACCATCTAATCTTCACTATGGAGCCCGTTAAGACAGCTGCTGATAATCGTCTGAAATAGCTTGTTGGAAATGCTTTTTGTGATTCACCAATTTTCTGACCTATAAACAAACACTAACTGATTTAACATTAGTTTTGAAAATCCGAACTTTGTTCTTTATGCTGAGTGTTGTGGATCTCCAAACTGACTTCGAAATGGTAAAGGTTTGTCTTGTCTTTCCAATTCTGTTTGTGACATTCTTATTCATGCCGTCTGTGATTAAAACGAGTTGTAGCGTTCTAAGCGATTACTAATAAAGTGAATTGAACTTGAGGAAAAACAACGGTTACTCATCATCTATGTACGGCCTTAAAATAATGGAGTGTACGAATGGGTGACGTGATGTCAGTTTACAAATGAATCCGAAATTAATAAATCTTACTAATCAGAAATTACACTAATATAACACATTCACATGTAGAGAAGGTTGAAGTTTAAGCTGGGATTATACTTCAGAAAGATGCAGTTATCAGTCTTGCATTGTCCTGGGAATTAAATGTAGTTGCTTTCCCTTTTATTCGATACGTAATCTTTACTTTTAACCTCTTCCCCTTTCGCTTTATTTCTATGATTTGGGTTGAATTCACTACATTGTTGATCAACTTAGTAGTAGTTACTCATCATCTTATACACCTTTTCTTTTTTAAAATTATTTTTGGTTTAAAATTGTCATTTTCGATTACAACCAACACCTACTTTATTTCACTTGATTCGTTGTTCATCCAGATCTGGACGTGTAGGTAGAGAGCGTTTAAATATACAGTATATCACCTGCTAACCATTAAAAATTCCTTGTTGAATCATCCAGTTTCTGGTCTAGTATTTATTATAACAGATCAGCTGGACTGGACATTAAGCCGTCCCCATAATGAACTTGTACAGCCGAAGATGGATTGACTTCGGTCGTCCTCTAGAAATGCTTTCTCCTGTGGTGTAACGTGCTACTGGCTTCTGTCAGGTTAGCCCCATTCATCGCTATCATCATGTGACGGTGGAGGGGTGTTTCCCACAAGATCAAAGGGGTGAATTCTAATGTCTGGCGTCTAGGGGCATTCTGATCTACCTAAGAAAGCTGGAAACCTCAGATTTCAAATCTATGGTCTACCTGAACTGAAGAATCCGATTGGATCAGATGAACTATGAGTCTGTTTTAGTCACTGGAAACTATGAAAACGCAATTCTTGACGCTTCTCCCCCCCCCTGTATCTTGTGAATCATTCTTCCAGTCAAGTGCTCGATGGGGGGGGTCGTGTTGTGGTGCCTTGAGACGACTGACCACTTGGTTCAATCTTGGCGTCTGGGTAGTTTCCTAGTCCTCACACAATGTGAATTTTTGTATACCCCATCTCTTGGTGTCCATGAGGTAGCAATCTGTAATAATTATTGCACTATTCCCAAAATGAGGATACACACGGACTGTAGTTTTTTGAATATGAACGGATGCTGAAATTATTTGTAACGCTACACTAAGATTTTCTGGTGTCCTTATCTTTGAAATACTTTCGCCCTACATGATTAATCACCATTTAGTTCTTGTTCACGCGGTCTTTATGTAGCTAGAGTTTGTTTGTACTAAACTTCTTATTTTATGTCTTTCTTTTTGTGCACAGTCTGCCATTTCAACTGTCAAATCACAGCAATCAAAATGGTATTTCAACTGCAGGTGGTGATCGTCCGAAAGATCCAGGAGTAAATTCTGTTGTGAACGATGAATCATCAACGCCCTTTACTACTAATACTGCAGTTAAACCTGGTCTTGCATTGAGTGCTAACGAAACTCTTTATCATCCAACTTGGTTATATCCACGTTTTCCTGTTCGAGCTGATTCTGTAAATACTTTAACCTGCAGTAGCAGTAATAGTAGTAATAATAATAATAATAAAAATAGTAGTTGTAATTCTGGTCCTACTCAACAACGTGTTTATCCTACTCGTGGTTATTCTCCGATGATTTTTAATAGTACAACTGGTAGTCTACCTCGAGGAGGATATATTCAACCACAGATTGCTAATACATTTTATTATGCTCAACCATCAGGATTGACTTTAATCCCTACACCACCACCGGTATCCGGGAGTCATTCATCATTTATCACTTCTGTTCATAATAATAATAATAATCCTAATGTTATGCATTTTCAACATCCACCGCCTATATACGGTTTTATTCCTAACTTACCGACAACATCAGGTGTATCCTTATTAGATATTGGCGGATATATTGGGGTGACTCCGGTTTCTTCTGTTTCTTCTATGGCCATGTCTAATTCTCCTAAATCTAATATTTGTGCTGTAACCCAGGTTTGTGGTACACTGATGATTGATCCTATGTCAACAACAGCAGGGACGTCAACAACGACGACAACAGCAACTTTATTGCCGAATGGTTTATTTCAATTACAAAGTGTTCCACTAGTACCAAACTTTATATTACATCCACCTGTACATCCAAATTTTCCACCTCCAGTGCCTAATTTAACTAATGGTAACAATAATAGTAATAATAATAATATCCCAGATATAATGAATATCTCTTCACGGTCAAATTTGAATGGACCTAGAATGCTAAGCTGTTATAATTGTGGTCAACTTGGTCATAAGGCTAATACTTGTCCATCAAGATGGTCTAGTCAACCACTAATTGAGAGTAAGTAATACTGTCCTTTTGTTTTTCTTTGCCTAAATCATTCTATGGTTAGTTTTTTTTTACATTTCTTGCGTTTCTTGTGAAGCATATAGGATCTTCAAGTTGCAGAAGTTTCAGTTGCGGATAGAGTTATTTGGAGTTGTTAGCCTTAACGCCCAATCTTTTATCAGCTTTCTTGTCCCCTGGGCTCGGTGTTTGTTTAGCATTGTATTGGTCGGGAATCAAACCCACTACCTCCAGCGTGCATGGTTACCGACAAACACACCATACCACTGAACCACCGAAGTTCCAGTGTATTACATTCAGTAGAGGTCATTTGGGTCACTATTTATATTCTACAGTTGCATTTATAGGTTATATCTGTCGATTGTGAAGATTATTGACTAACTTTCGACAGTAGAGGTTAGCGAAATCTACTCGGTATCAAACTACATTTGTGAGTTTGCACCTTGTTAAGTTCACTAAAGTTTGAGCTTGGTTCACCCCCAACCTTGTGAATATTCTGTGTATATAAACATGTATATAATTGTAGAGCCAGAAGAGGAATTTATCGAAAAGAATATTCTTTGCTCGATTATGTTGTGTGTATTTAATTTAGTGTTTCAGTAATGAAAACTTTTCGTTACACTTTATGAAAATTGTATAATGAAATATATAGCGTTAATATCCTCTGGAGTGGTATACAACTCTGTGTGGGTGATGAAAGGTATGCATATATATATATATATATATATATATATATATATATATATAGGTTAGCGTCGGTGCTTCAGCGGCAGTACACTTGCAAAAGACGCAAGTAGCGCGTGGTTCGACCCGCCAACTGACGCTTTCCTAAACCTCACTAAGCCGGTAAATAGGGAAGTTTCGACGTGAGGCTGGCGGCAACCCCCTAAAAATAAAACCCTCGCCACCAGAAATCCAAAGCACTAGATTGTGTCTGTATATTCCACTCGGACCGTAAAGCAACAGAATAATAGTGATATGGGTAGGTGCTATTGTCTTAATCAGCGCGACTTCATCCAATAATTTTTCACTCTATTTGAGTCGTATTCGCCTTCTTCGTGACCTACACAGTTCGTGGTATAACTTTACTGCAGTCTTCTATGGAAACCAAAGCTACTCAGATTACAATCGATATATGTTCTGCTTGATAGTATAAAAATTGGAATCAAGAAGGCGAGCTTGACTGCATGATGCTACATATTATTGATTGATTGACATGAGTAGTTGGGGAGTCACGGATTTTATTCAATGTGTTACTAGTTGACTCAAGGATCTAACCAAAAGTGGGATAGTATGAAATGATTCGTCTTGCTGAGCTGATTCAAACTGGGTGTACAGATCAGATGAGCGAAAGGACTGTTAGTTGTGTAACTTGCTTTCCTCCGGTTAGCCAACACTACTTGTTCATATGAGTAGTATCCAACCTCAATCATTCACTAGTATGTAGCATCACTTTTTATGTGATTCACAACAATCTAGAGCTTGTTATGTCAGCTGTTGACTCATTGTCTCCTTTCGCTTTAAACTGCTAAGGTGTCAATTGCCAAGAGGTAGTGGTAATCATCACTCTTCACACAATGACAGCAGCAATCATGCCACATACACACATATTAATCCTATACATACAGCATTTGTCCGCTTCGTTTTAGTTTTAAGTCCCATGCGGCAATTCAGCAGCTCTTGTAGTTTGTAGCTGTTATCGTGGGTCCGCGTTAATATATTGAAGTGTTAGATTACCCAGGTCCTATCACGGAAGGAAAAGTAATTGTTAGCTTTTTCTAATTAGTGTTCACATAGTTATTTTTTTACTTCAATCAGCATAGGGAAGAAAATATAATGACATTTAGGATAATGTAATGAAAATGTCCTTCCCAAGTTCTTGTTCATTGGAACTGGACTGGTTTGAAGTTTGATCGCGAATTGATAGAAGTTAAAAATTTGAAGCCCATTGGATTCTGTTTCAAGGGCTGAATTATCAACGTGCTCGCCATATCACCTGAATGTCGTGGGTTTGAACTTGTCAAAGAGTCCCAGATTAGGATGTAACTTCTGACCATACATGAAAATGTACTTCTCTCACTAACCGGGAACTACAAATAGTCTGACTTTTTTTTGGGGGGGGGGTGGATGTTAATTAAGTGTTTTTTTTAATTTTTCACATTCTATCTATCCGACAAAAGTTTTATACTCTCTTACTTTTTATTATGTTTTTCTCTCTCTCCCTCTCTCCACATCCTATTTTTAGATGTGTTCTCGCTGAACTTTGCTCCAAGGAAATAAACAGTTCTCTGTCTCTCCCTCGCACACACGCACCTTTCCAACTGTAGTCAGATAAACAATAACAAAAAAAACAAAAATCTTGTTGTTTCTCTAAATTTCCTCCCCCACTCTTAGTTTTATCAAAGGAGAACAGTAGACGTTATTTCATGTTTGTCGACAAAAAAATTATTCAGAAAAGAAAACACAAAGACACTGACAAAGATTTTCGCCTTGATGCCTTTTGTCATTGTCTTTTTCCATTGATTTCCCCTTTTTACTTATTGCTCAAAATTGTTGTACAGCAAGCTTAATGGTGTATTTGTGTGAGCGCGTGCAAACATGGAGGGTTGGGATCGTCCTCTACTTTGTCACTCACCTCCTCTGCCTTTCCGTGAGTGTGTCGGGCTTGCTTTATGTATCCATGCCTGTGGTATAACGCTCGATTATACTATAAATATCTTCGTGCATATATTATTTTGCAATGAATAATTGTTAAAACAAAAGTCTGTCAGTCACCACAATTATCATCATCTTATTGACAGAGAGAGCAAGAGGGGTGGGTGAGAGAACAATCAAAGCTTAAATTAAAACTTCATCCCCATTTTATGTAGATTAAAGTGTTATATATTAGACATTCTGTCGTACATCTTACACTCTTATATATACATATATGTACACTCATATTTTTCGCTTTTAATTTCTATCCTGTAAATATTCTGTATGCCTTGTTTGTTTAAACCAATCAAAAACACGCTTCTCTTGTATTATATAATGATTGTTGTAAAGTGGTTGTGCACACCCTGTTTGTACCTTGCCACACACACACAAGCACGGACTTACACCGATTATTCGTGTTACTACTACTCGTGTGTTAGTAGTAATAGTAGTAGTGGAATGTAGGATCTTACCTTGAAATTTGGCCCATCTTCTTGTAAGAATATAAATACGTAACACGAAATCTCATCATCCTTACTTACACATATTTGTGATGTGTGCAAAAAACAAAGACGGTAAAAAAGAATAATAATAATAACATCTAAGACTACCTCTCCCCATGCCTATGACGTAACATAAATGAATGACGTAAATACTACTCGTATTTATTGTTCTGTGTTGTTGACCGACCGATCGATGAACCGAACCGACCCAACGACGGATTCTTTTTTTCGTCTTTCTGTGCTGGTACCATTATCTGATTCATACAAATGACACACACATGCATACACCAGACACTGGCGTGATCATGTCTCTCGTTGAAGTGATCCTTCATTTTCTAATTTTTGATCTCAGTGCTTTTAATTTTATGTATTACATCAATATGAAAAATCTTGATTTTTGCGAAGACATATAACATTTGACAAATCAAGGGAAAAAAGCATATATGTGTGCAGAACAATTACTCTCTTGCCCATACACATACACACACACACACGGACAAACAAACACTCTCCCATCCCCTCTCTGCATGTACGTGTGTGTGTGTGCTGTGCCCGTGTCGTTTATTCTTCATGGTTACTTATGTAATTAATTAGTCACCTGTGTATTCATTCAATATTGATATTTGTAATCCCCAAATTCCCGATCTATGTGCTTTTACTGTGGTGTGGCATTTCAACATACAGAAAATTCTTATCCTTTTTTTGATATTCTCATTTGAGATGATTGATCGACACGCTACTTTGGTTGTGTGTATTTGTGTGCATTTTAAGAAAAACAACACAACAAACTCTATTACCTTGTTTTCTACTTTGTTCTCTTTTCTTTTCCATTCATTCATCATCTGCATAGAGACTGTCATATACAAAACTGTGTGTGTTGTAATAATGCCTAATCTCTCTCGTCTACATCTCTAAGAAACCGTGTAAAACTGTGGTGTTTTAAGCGCTTGTATTATGATGTTTTTTCAAAATGAGTGTACTACCGCTGATTATTAGTATTATCGTCAGGCATCATCAATGATGATAACGATGAGTGGTTGTTATCCATCCTCCGCCAATTCCATCACTCACATCAAATGATAGTTTATCTCTTTTTCTCCCTGTGTGTGTATGTGTGCGAATGCATATCTAATGCTGTGGATGTGTGTGTGTTTGTGTTTAATGGTTGGACCAACGACACTTTAAGGACCCTAAAGTGTCGAGATAGAGAGAAAGATGTGTGTGTGTGTATGAAGAAGTTTCTTTGAATTCTGTATCTGTTTTCACCCACCACCACCTATCCACACATTCACGCACACACAAAACAGAGACAAAACTTACCTGTGTTGTTGTATTTATATTGACGTAATAACAACAATAATAATTATTATTGTTATGAGTACTAGTAGTTTTAGTATTAGTAGTATATTTCAGTTGTCCTCTATCTGCTTCCCTTATTATTATCATTATTATTATTATTGTTCATAGGTGATACAAACATACATACCTATACAGACATATGTGTTATACCATATGTGTATATCTGACAATGCCTATTTTTTAAATAGAAAAGAAGAACAAACAAACTTATTATAATAAAAATTATCAAAAAATTACACCATTGGTTGTTGCTTTTTTATATTTCTTATTGATTGTTTCAACGATTGTGACGGTCCATTCTTTGTTGTTGACATGTGACCGTCTCTCTCTCTCCCCCCTCATGTGTTGTTCGATGATGAAGCTGTGAATTAGTGTGCTGATTTGAGTGTTAGAACCTCATTGGTTCATTGTAACTTTTCATTCCTTGTATATGTTGGGGTGTCAGTGTTCGTGTGTGTGTGTGTGTGTCGTTCGAACTTCTTTCCCGGAATGGGAGGCTCTATATGTGTGGGTGGCTCTGATGAATATTTCCCAGTTGCCTTGGCTGAAACAGGTCAAGCTGGGTTCGAGCCAAACATCCACTGATTGATAGGGGGATTGCTTTAAGCCGGTTACTCACATCTTAGCTAGAGTCCTCGAAAAGACTCGAACTTGAGGTGTTGGATCCAGAGTCGACAGTGCCTACCACTCACTATATCATGGGGCCCCTTTGACTCAACACTTAGAATACAGCATAAATCTTCATTTTGACTTTCAATCACAATATGTTTTGTGTTGAAGTGTACTGCTCTATCTGTCGACGTTAAGACAGAATAGATTTGACTTACTGCTGATAGCATGGGAATGCAAGTGATTATCGATGCAGTTGAGTGGTTTAATACACCTAGGTACAACGATGTTGATGGATTACCAATTGTGACTATTCTCCTTCTTCAATATTTCCCTCTTCATCACTGGGTCACAAAAATATCAGGAAGGTCGTCTGTATGACTATAAGGACATCTTTATCAGACACAAGAGATGCATGATGTACACATGCATCGATTTAAGGTTCTATCAGTGGTAAAATAAAATATACATGATCGGTTGTTTATGGTCAGACGCCACACTCTATAAACACACAGAAATATAGGGAAAAACGAGTTCGAAAGAACTAACCGTAATGAGCAGAAATATATGGTCCGCAACGTGAAACTTCCGGAAGCCTTCAAAGTGAGGACGGGAGTGAGGCAAGACTGTCTACTATCGCCAATGATCTTCCTGATTACAGTAGATTGCACAATGTGACAGACAACGGGCAATGAGGAAACAGGCATAAAATGGACTCACACAAAAACTTGGAGGATCTGGACTTCGCCGATCATATATGTCTGATTTCTCACAAACTGGAAGATATGCAATTGAAAAGCAACTAGTTTGCAGAAGAAGCATCAAAGATTGGACTTCAGGTGAACATAGGGAAAACAGAGGTGGTGAAGATTCCTGGCCAACACCAACCGCAACAACAATCAGCATAAATGGGAGGAACCTGAGAGAGACAACCTCCTTCACCTAACGACCCACCTGGGAAGCGTCGTTTCAACTACAGGCGGAACTGACGACGATATCAAAGCAAGACAAGCTTTCATTACTCTCAAGTCTGTGTGGAGGTCAACAGCACTCATCATCAAAAATAAGATACGGCTTTTCAACTCCAATGTGAAGTCAGTGCTACTATACGGATCAAAGACTTGTCGCGTCTGAGACAAACTTCAGACCTTCACTCGATACATAAGATCAAATGGCCGGCCAGAAAAGAAAGCGGCGAGTTGGTCGTCACTGCGAGGGTGACTTGGAGGAGATCATGTGATTAGAAGATGAAAGCATGTGGGCAGACTTGGAGCGGGGTAAAAAAGTTGGCAGAAAACCGAAGGCAATGGAGACGCGCGGCTGAAGCCTTATGTTCCTCTAGGAATTAAAGGATATGATATTAATATGGTCCAGTTAGAACGAGAATTTAAATAATTTCACCAGTAGTCTATAGCCGCAAGGACTCCAAGCAGGTAGCCTCTAGCACCTTACGAGACTGGCTCAAAGTGCCAGTGTTTCAAGACTTCATAGACTGATACCATGTTCTAGTTTGATCACTTCAACTTAGTCTTATGTCAGCTAACATTGTCCGTCGAGGATTGGTGATGGTCGGTCTGTCATGTGTTGTTTTAACACATCTGTATCGATGTAGCTTCACGTGAATAATGGGATTTTGTTTTCAACTTATTGATTATTCTGAGCCTTCTTCTCACTAGCAAGGTATTGAGGTGCAAATATGCGAAAAGACTTTCTTCAAAGGATGGACGACTATCATCACTGCTAATGGTGGCGATTTCTCTTGCCAGTCAGTAGTAATTGTGATTGATTATCATCCGTGGGTAAAAAATAGGACTTTGTTTAAAGCTTCTCATCGTGTATTCATAGTTATCTGTATGGTATGGATAGCATGAATGATTTGAAAATAAACAGGTAATTAAATATGTACTCTTCTTATTTGTTGTATATTCGTTTGTGTTCTCAGTGGAACATAGGTCTTTAAGTTTTGGCTTTGAAGTTTCAGGTAGCATTGGTGTTTACTTTTTACGAAGTGAAGTAGGTTAGCCTCCTGCCTAAACTGTCCTCTCTTACCCCTGGGGTTGTTATCGACTTTGAGATGTCTTTGGTCGGGATTCGAAACCTGAACCACTTGCGTCCGTGGTTACACGAGCATTCTACTCTAACATGAGAAAATAAGAGACTGAATACTGAACTTTCTTTATTAGGGAAATACATTCCTGGCCATATTGAAAGTTCGGGCTAAGTAAGAGGAGAGTAAACTGTTTTGATTCGTCGGCAGTTGGCTTATAGTTTGACAAGTTGTCCGATGAGGTTATATCATGTCCACAACGCAAAGTAAATCCAGAATTGAGGAATAAACACTCCTACCTCTGTTGCAACCGTTGACTTGAAATGTTGAGTTTCAGCTTTGTCTGCTTCCGGTCAATTTGCACCATATCACATCACTTTTAAACCCCCTGACGCACGTGGATAAATCTTTTTTCACAGTAGGTCTCAATCTCTGTCCTACATAGATAGGAACAAATATATTATTTTGTTCACAATGACAATATTAACATTACTAGCATTGGTGAATTGACGTCTAGTTAGTACGAGTGGAACTTTGGGCTTCAGCAGCATCTCTACACTTTGTCCTGTTCTCTTCAGACCTCTTAAGCTGGCTATACGGATACCTATATACTGTCATTTCCTCCACTTCACTCTCGGGACCCCACCGGACTCGTCGTTTCCCGCTAAAGTGCTTAGCGTGTGATGCCACTCAGTGGTCTCAGCGTGTGTCCTATCCATCTCCATTTTCGATATATTTCTAAGACGATAGGTCCTTGGTTGTGTGGCGATAGAACGCTCTCCAACCAGGTGCGGCGCTCGTCCCTTGGCCGACGCACCGGTAAGGGGGGGGGCGTTGGGTGGGTGTGTGTGACTAGCAACCACACCCGGTTAAAATAAAATCACTGCCACTGAAACTTCAACACACTAGCCTGAATCTACACGTCCCACTCAGTACGTAAAAGAATAAAATAATTCATAATCTTGGTTAATTGGTTTTCATAGTTTTTGTCCGTTATCGTATCTAGTCTTCAGTATGGAGGGAAGTATGCATCTGTTGATGAAAATCTGAAACCTTTATGAAAATACTTTTGATGAAGTGCCAAGTTTCTTTTGTCCATACTAGTATAGGCACATTAGTGTTGAACATCCGAACCTTCTTTGTTTATCCTATATAATGTAGAAGATTTCCTAATCGATTTTGGAGTGATGAAGGCTTGTGTTGTCTTTTTGATTCTAGCTGCTCTTGACGTCCTCATCCTCCATGCCGTGTGTCTATGGTTGAAAGGATTGCTGATTGAAGATTGTGAATGATTGATCTCTTTCAAATATCTTCCAATGATAGTGAGTGGTGTTTGTTGTTGGTTGGTTGGTTGGTTTACCTTCATCAACCCTGTCTTCTCTAATGTTGTCTTTGCTGATGCTTTTGCCAACTCTTGTTAGTTCTATACTGGATTAACACTTTGACTTATGAAATTATGCTATGTAAATGGACCATTAGATCGGGTCCTAGTCGCATAATGGTCTACCACCTAGCTCGTCTTGTAACCAGAATGTCCTAGGTTCGAAACCCGGTGGGCATGGACTGATGAGGAGTCCCTAACTAGAACGAAACAGCTGTGCAGTACTCTAACTGATGTCAGCTCATGATGAAATCCTCCAATCAGTCGAAATAAAACCCCTACAATAACTAATACTTGGAAACAAGTTATCCCGATTTACAGATAAATTAAATAGTAAAAATAACAGAAATAAGGAGTTAATACATGAATATATATGGTAATAATTCTGGTTTTATAGCTTACTGTCTGTTTTTAGGTGATTACGTAGATTGAGACAATTTCTTTTCTGACAATTTGTCCCTCTCTCTCTCTCTGTGTGTCTTCACACAAACCTACGCAAAATAATGACATGGTTGAATTTTATTTTTATTTCATACTTAACCATACCATACGAGAATAAACACTCTAGTTGAAATTTCTTCTGTTTTTTTTGTATACACCCGAAAAGTAGCAAAACCTATGAGTAACAACCCCTCCACCTCCCCCCCCCCCACCAAAAAAACTATCCCTACTATGTCAGACATGATGATGATGATGATTGTGACACCATTAGGCAATTTTCTTGCATGAATTGAATTTACGCGTCAACAGAAAGTGTCTATCACAGTAATAATGTCAGTTAATTAGTTAGTGAGTCAAATATACACACACACACCATTACAGTCTTGCAAATCCTACGTGATATGACATAGAATTTTTCTAATTTTTGAGTATTCCAGGGGAAAATATATAATAATTTTTTTCCTTCACGTTCCCCGGTGGAACATAGGGCTTCAAGCTAGAGGCTTGAAGTTTCTGTAACAGTGTTTAATTTTCACAAGATAAGGTTACTAGCCTCATGCCCAACCTTTTCTCTTTACCAGCATTATCGCTGGCCCAGCGAGGTAAAGGAATGCGTTGGCCGGGGATCGAACCCCGGACTATGTGCATGGTCGGTGAGCGTCCTAACCGCTATACCACCAACGCTTCTCGGCTCTCTGAGCTAAGATCATGTGTAGTATCTGTTCTTTGCAGTGTAATAATAATAATAATAATCTACTTTATTCCGAAAACAGTACTAATAATGCAGAATGGAATTCTCAGCATTTGTCACATTGTTGCATCTGATTCACTCAGAATATAAATAAAATTAAAAATGAAAACAAAGTTACCCTGAGGAATTTGTTCACGTTTACGATATAAAGTCAATAATATTCGAAGCACGAATTAAGAGTATTAAATGTAAATATAATAATAACAGTGAGTTTGTTTCAAACAGTATTGTCGATTCAGTTTGGAAATTTTAGTATGTTATAGATTATTGGATCTAATGTTCTGTTGATATAGCAGCATGGTGAGGGGAAATTCAAAATTAACAGTTAATCACACAGCTTAAATGATGTTCATACTTATGAAAAAATAAAAACAACACGAAATTGCGAGGATTATAAGTATAAGAAGAACAATAACAATAAAGCTTGATGTTTTAAGGGTGGAAGAAATGG